GCTGCAGCACAATTTCAAAAGTAGTTCTTGTCTAACTTTTTCTGCATTTTGTAGCGATTTCACATATAGACTACAATAGAAATCGCAATGCAAAACGCAATAACTCGGGAAATCTACAGAAAACAAAAAAAGTGAAATTGCCAACAAAGTGCAATTTTAAATTGCATCTAGTGTGAACCAAGCAGGCAGTTCAACAAAGGCAATACATCTTTGAAGGCATGCGGTATCTGCATGCTCAGATAAGGGTCTGTTATGGATTTGGGGGAGACTCTACACCATTATTTTAGTTAATTTTGGCATGGGGATTCCCCTCCAAATCCTTTTCTCTCTCGCTCGCTTTTCTCTTGCTCGCTCTTCTTTTGCTCGCTCTTCTCTCGCTCAGCTCTTGGCTTGACAAACCCTTCCCAAAAGAGGCGGAGTGCAAACCAGCAATATCAAATCAATCATTCGTCCAGGCCCTTATCTCATCCCATTGTTTGATTTTCACATAAGGTGCAGCTTTGAAGGTGTTTGAACAGACAAGACCTCATTCTAATTCACATTCTAGGGATCATATAGACAACAAAGATGCTGCCAGCACATCTATGTTAGGGCAGCCGCCCAGGGAGAACGTGCAACTTCATTGCCGTGGTTGGGATTCAAACTGACGACCCTAGTGCTGTGAGGCAGCAGTGCTAACCACTTATCCACTGTGCTGTGACACCCATACAGCCTGTATTTCTGTGTTGTGAGTCAACCTTAAGTCCCTGGGCAAGGTCAGTGCAACTAGCCAGATATCTCAAATGTGACACAAATGTTGTGCTATGTTGCCAATTCAGATGTATGTTGATTCTATGTATCCCAATACAAAGGATTGCAATACTAATACACAAATTTACGAATGAAAGTCCATTGAAAATAATTCCTAGGTTTACAAATGTTTTAATATTTTTTTTCGCTATACGAAGTATATGTCGGTGCTGATTTTTAAATGCAAATGCCAGACTTTTTATTTTCCTTCACTATGGTTCACAAGTTTAGCTGTCACTTTCCCCGGAGTTACAGGAAACTTTATTTCTTTTAAGAAATTAAAAGTAAGCATTGTTTCCTATAGGGAAATAAACGCAAAGAAAACTTTCTCTTTTAGCTGGGGGAAAGTGACAGCTGAATTTCTGAGCTATAGTGAAGAAAAAAAAAAAAAGTGATAATTACATTTAAAAACCAGCACCATAATAAACAAAAAAACAGCGTGGGGTCCCCTTTCCCATCCATACCAAGCCCTGCGGGTCTGGTATGGATTTAGAGGGTAAGCCCCACGCCAAAATTAAAAAAAAAAAATGCAGCCCGGCAGGTCAGGAAAGGGGGGGGGGGGGGGCAAGCGCCCCCCCTTCTGAACCATATCAGGCCACATGCCCTCAACATGGGGGGTGCTTTGGGGCAGGGGAGCTCCCCTCCCAAAGCACCTTGCCCCCATGTTGATGGGGATAAGGGCCTCTTCCCCACAGCCCTGGCCATTGGTTGTGGGGGTCTGCGGGCAGGGGGCTTATAGGAATCTGGAAGCCCCCTTTAACAAGGCCCCCCCCCATGTTAATGAGTATGGGGTACATGGTATCCCATACTCATTCTCAAAAAACAAAAAAAGGAGTGTAAAAAAAGACAGGACACGGTCTTCGACAAGTCTTTTATTAAAAGAAAAATCTAAAAGAATGTCCCTCGAAGTAGATCCAATGTCAATCACGATATATGCCGCTGCCGACCCGGAAAAAAAAAAAAATTGTCCCGTTCCCGACGCTGGCTCCTGCCGTTTGACAACTCTTAAATATGTAAGGGGCGGGGCTACCCGGGGACATCATCAGTGACCCCACCCCATGTGACATCATTGATGTCATATGGGGTGGGGGTCACATGTGATGTCCCCAGGTGGCCTGCCCCTTACATATTTAAGAACTGTCAAACGGCAGGAGCCAGTGTCAGGAACGGGACTTGTTTTTTTTTTTTTTCTTTTCTTGGGTTGGGGGAGGCATACACCGTGATTGACGTTTCATCTACTTCGGGGGACATTCTTTTAGATTTTTCTTTTAATAAAGGACTTGTCAAAGACCATGTCCTGTCTTTTTTTACACAACACTTTTTGTGTTTTTGAGTGAGTAGCGGTACCATGTACCCCTTACTCATTCACATGGGGGGGCGTGATCTGGGGGTCCCCTTGTTAAAGGGGGCTTCTAGATTCCGATAAGCCCCCCGCCCAAACACCCCCTCAATGACCAGCCAGGATTGTGGGAAAGAGGCCCTTGTCCCCATCAACATGAGGACAAGGTGCTTTTGGGGGGGAGCCCCCTTGCCCCAAAGAACCCCCCCACATGTTGAGGGCATGTGGCCTGGTATGGTTCAGCAGGGGGGGGACTCGTTCATCCCACCCCTTTTCCTGACCTGCCGGGCTGCATGCACGGATCAGGGTCTGGTATGGATTTGGGGGGGACCCCACTCCATTTTTTCTTTTTTTTTTTAATTTTGGCGTGGGGCTTCCCCTTTAAATCCATACCAGACCCGAAGGTTTTTTTTTTTTTTTTTTTTTTTAATTGCCAACCTTTTTATTTTAAGATTCAGCTGTAAAAATATATATTACCTAGATCTTCAAAATATGTAAAACCATTACAGAAATAATTATAAAGGATAAGAAACAAAAATAGAATCAATAGAACTAAAGAAATCAAATTAGAATACATAAAGATATGCCTGGCTACAAATAGTGTTGTTTGTCAAACACAGTAGACGGGCTCGATTGCCGTCTTGCAGAGGACTCCACACAGAGATTTACTATTAAACAGCGTCTAAATGTCTTTCCCGTCTAAAAGTAGACGGACTCTAATGAAAAGACTTTAGCCCACGGAAATGTTTCTATGCACATTAGTAAATCAGGGCCATAATTTCGATGGCATGGCCTGTATATAATCCAGACCGCAATCCAATTGAAAATCTATGGTGGAATATAAAGAAAATGGTCCATGACACGGCTTCAACCTGCAAAGCTGATCTGGCAACTGCAATAACAGAAAGTTGGAGCTGGATTGATGAAGAATACTGTTTGTCGATGGTTAAATCCGTGCCTCAGAGAATTCAAGCTGTTATAAAAGCCTGAGGTGGTGCAACAAAGTACTAGTGGTGTACTGTAGTGTTTTTTTTCATGATTCCATAATATTTTCCTCAGAATTCAGTGATTCCAAATTTTTTTCCTCTGCTTGATCTGCAAAAACAGTTGCAACTGACTGCAGTTTTCTCTCTATTTTTTTACGGATTTCTTAAAGCCAGAAGGTTGGAATGTTAAATGAAAATAGTTTTGAGGCATGTCTGTGATTTAGTTTTTTTTCTACACAATCCAACGATTGAACATTTTACAAGAGTTGTGATTCCATCCTTTTGCCAGGGGTTGTAGTATGGCACCCTTTTTTTTGCCAAAGGAAACTTTGCATGTCTGTTTTACCAAAAAATTAAACTCTTTGCAATTCTTTAGCTGTGGGATATTTTGCTTTAAATGATAAAATGTAAGCAAGGGACTGCCAAAAGATTAGGATGCCACATGCTATACCATGCTTCACTCCTTATGTTCCTTATGTTCCCCTTTCAGTAACAGTTCAGAACTGTTTGTCCAATCGATGGAAATTAATACATTTCACAAATAAAGTAAAATACTTGTCCATGATCAGCAGCCCTGCTGGCTTCTTCTTTAGCTTGAGCAAGATGCTCAAAAAGTGCAAGTGACTATGTTTCTATCCCATAACAATCAATTAGAATACACTTTGCGAAAGTCAGAGCCATAAAAAATGAATTCTGATTTTGTATTGCACTTGAAGTATAACTAAAGGGAAAGTGTTTTTTTTAGTTTTGTATAGAGTGGAAAGGGATTGGAGAGGGATTGGAACACAGGTCAGGTTTTATTGCTGCCTGTGCCCGAGATTTACCCTCTCTTTTGGTCTGGGTAACTATTATCACTGAAAGTGAAAGTAAAAGAATATCCCGAATTTTGGGTTATCACCAGAGCACTAGTTCTGACAAAGCGACCCTCACTTTGGAGTAGGTTTCTCCCACTTCTTGTTTTGGTTATGTGACAGAATGTGATAGGACGTCTCCCCAATGGGACACAGATGGCAAAAAAAAAATCTGACAGGGATTGTAATCCTCCATTAGAGGAGGTACTTTTCGGAGTTATGAATATATACCAGGGATCTCCAAACTTTCTAAGCAAAGGGACAGTTTTTTGTCCTTCGGACGTTAGAGGGGCCGGACTGTGACTAGTGGGAGTCTCAACATCAGTAGGCATAAACAATGCCCCATCATTTGTTTGAATGGAAGGAATAGTGTCCCATCATTGGTTTATGGGAAGGAATAATGCCCCATCATTGGTTGAATGGAAGGAACAGTGCCCCATCATTGGTTTGAATGGAGGAATAGTGCTCCATCATTGGTTGAATGGAAGGAATAGTGCCCCATCATTGGTTTGAATGGAGGAATAGTGCCCCATCATTGGTTGAATGGAAGGAATAGTGCCCCATCATTGGTTGAATGGAAGGAATAGTGCCCCATCATTGGTTGAATGGAAGGAATAGTGCCCCATCATTGGTTGAATGGAAGGAATAGTTCACCTTGCTGTTATCAATAGGAAGATTAGTGCCCTATCAATGATGTTAGTGTAAGGAATAGTGCCCCTTCATTGGTCTCAGTGTAAGAAATAGTGCCCCTTCAATGGTCTCAGTGTAAGGAATAGCGCCCCAAGGGCCAGATTAAGGCAGCCAGGGGCCGCATTCGGCCCTTGGGCCGCAGTTTGATATATACTCAAATAGATTTTTTTTTTGTTGTTGTTTTGGTAGACTTGTGTTTAGTGTCACTTCAACTTTTATTATTGTTAACAAACATAAATTGTATAATGGCTTTTTTTTAATGCTTTAAAACTGATGAATGTAGAGACTTGGGAGTGTTTCCTCTATTTTAATCAAGCAGTGTTTGTTTTCCATGTTGTTTTTTAGTGTTAGAACGTAAAATTTCCATGAGACAAAGTCGAGAGGAGCTTATAAGAAGAGGAGTTCTCAAGGAAATAACAGACCATGGTGAGTCTCAGGGGTGTTTTATACATAACACGTAAAAACTGAATTTACTCAAGAATGCTTTCATTTTATATCTTGATACTAGTTTAAGAATAGCAATAAAATTTCATAAGAACCTGACACTTCCAAATTAAAAATATACTAGTCAGTTTGAACCAGTGAGATATGAATAACAACTGATAGGAAACTGAAATGTTTGGTCTGGTGCATGTGTCCCTATCTTTTTACAAGAGTCCTATAAGTGCTTATGCTCACCATACACATTATTTACAATCTGGTGTACAGTCTACAGTATGTATGATCAACATCAGATTTACTAAACCCATGAGACTATTACAATACCATGCTCAAAAATATGTCCATAAATGTTTAACATATTACATTTATTCCTATTCTTAAAATACAATATTAGTGCATATTTTTTTTTAAAAAATCAGGCCTATGCACATAAATAGTACCACAAAATACACTACTTCCATTTGACAGCCCCATTAGTATAAGCATATTTCAACATTAATGTAGTAATTGGTGTTTACTGTAGGGGCTAAAATTCTTCTGTGTTTCTATACAGAGCAATTGCACACACAATGCTGCATTCATAGAGAATAAAATAATTATACTTATTTTGGTATTATCAGGTTGTTCGTCACTTACAGGTGTGTTTATATAGTGCCTAGCAGTGCAGGAAAGCTGTAAAGAAACTTGGTAAACACCCATATTCCAGGAAAAAGCCCTTGTAAATAGACTATCATTGTCACTCATATATTCCATTAATAATGTATAGGTAGAAGGTATCCTACCTGTTTGTCCAATTATCTACTGGAGTAAAATTAAGATTCTGTTCCTGATGGAGAGAAAATTACTGTGATCCAGTAAAAATTGGATAATGAGGTACTAGTCCAACTGTTCTATTTCTAGAAATAACACAGTGCATCATAATATTTTGTTGTGTTTGTTAGGTGCCAATGTGTAGCGGACACAGCACACTCTTCTTTCTTTACTGTGCCCCTCTAAAAAAAAAAAAACATAAAAAAAAAAAAACAAAGAGCTCACGCCTGATGTGGCTGTGCAGGAAGGGGGCGAAGACTGTTGCCCAGGCAATCTGATGTTAAGCATTGGGTTGCCTGGGTTGCAGAATCGTGGCCAGTTTAGGTATATCTACCTAGGCAGAGGGAAATGGTGGGTAATTTTTCTTATTGAAGTCCCCCTGGATGCTACATATGCCTGTGAATACCTGAGACTGAGGTCAGGACTCCAGGAGCCACCTCTGCCACCTCTGTGCTCTCCTCAACTCCCGATTCACAGCAAGGGTACTCAGCGCTCCTCTCCCTCTTGCTCAGGACCCTTCTTCCTGCACACAGCACCTGGCAGCACAGCCCATTCACAAATTACAGGTTTCAGTGCCTATGTGCATAATGCCTAAGGATCCTAATTTTCAAAAACTGTCAGTTATTTTCAGCGAAGTCCAATGAGATTTTCAAATCTCAGATGGCTAAAAAAGAAAGATCCTTATCCTAGAATAAAACTTGATTTGGTCATGTATTAGTTACATGTCAAGTATGGTGTATATAATAATAAATGGCTTCATATAAAGCTTTGTGCAGGCCAGTTTTTAAGACTGATATGTTTTTATTTTAATTTATTATTATAACACTCTGTAGATGGTGAAATACCAATCAATATGGGAACATCAAATGGTCATACAGTGCCAATCAGTGAGGAACCACCAAAAGAACTGAAGCCTACAGCAGGAAATGGAGCAATAGCCTCAAAAACATCTGCATCAGAAGAAAAAGCTGAAGACAAGAAAGGTGAGATGAAGTGTGTGTGCTATTTTCCATTGCTCCAAAAATGATGTTTTACCAGCAGTAGACATTAAGGGTCTTTAGAGAATCTTTGAATGATTAATTACCCTTACCATTACCTGCGTCTTAAATGCAGTAAAAAGAAGAGCTGAGCATTTTACACAGTTTCCAAGGTCTAGTATTGGCAGCAAGGTCAAAAGCAGAAAAAACTTTTAGTTTAAAGCCCCTTGGCAGAAACATTTAGGGTTCTTTCGTGCCATACTGCAAATAAAAATTCACTGCAATATTGTAGTAAGAATGTGTCACATAAACCTTACTGTAACCTGTGTTGATCCGGTATGGTATGATTCTTTCACACCATACTGTACTTACTGCAACACCTTGAAATGCATGTGTGCATGTGCATTTAAAATGCATTTTGTTTTTACCCTTTAGTAAAAATGAATCTTCTTGAGCGTTGCATTTTTATGCATATTGGCATGCTCCCTGAATGGGTCAGAATACCAACAACAGTCTATTTTTTTGTCTTTACTTTCAGTTGCATTTACATGCACTTATTTGTGTTGCATTACATTCAAATGTAGACAGTTTGTTCTAAGGGTCTGCTTCATGAACTTTTAACCAATGCTGATCACAGTTGTAATGGTATTTAAACCTAGAAGTGGTCACAGCAGAATTCAAAGCTACAGACCAATTCTACACTTAACTGTCACTAAAATGGGGAACAGTTTGAAGATAATTAGGCAAGCTGAAAGATCATATATTGTCAATAACAGCCAGTCAAATATTAGTTTTAATATGTTGGAATCCTAGAAGAAAATATCATCTGGAACCTCCTTGGTTGCCATGGTGACCTCTATTGCTTTGTTTTTCTACTGCTTTGGTTTTGTCAGGCCCATATTTTTAATATACTTTTTATCCTTGGTGTTTTTAGCATGTCTTGGCTTAGAACAGTGTACATAAACACACAAAAGGAACTAAAGCAGGGATGTATTTGGCAGCATACTCTACAAAAGCCAGATAGATTTTCCTGTTTGCTTTGTGTTTTTATGTTCAATTATTCATTATATCTAGAGCAAGCCTTAAGTGACAAAGCAACTTTTTTTTTTCTTGTGGTAAGTCATCATTTGCTATACATACAACTTACAACATCTGCTCCTTCTTTATTAGCATTTCCTTAACTATGTAAATGAAGACAGTCAAGTGACTTGTATCATTGAGGTAGATTTACTAAAAACTGGTTCACTCAGAATCTGGTGCAGCTGTGCATGGTAGCCAGTCAGCTTGTAAATTCAGGTTGTTCTATTAAGCTTTGGCAGTAAAACCTGGAAGCTGGTTTCTATGCAGAAGTGAGCCTAATTTTGTACTCTTCAGCTTTAGTAAATAAATTCCACTGCGTCTTGCAGGCTAGAGGCTTCCTTTGTTGGTATCAGCAGCTAATTTAGCAGAACTGTGCTATGGTAAATAGAACATATACAGGTCGTTGTAAATAATGGGATTTTGTTAGACAGGAACATAATAAACAAGAAGGCAAACGGGGACCCCGGGCAGTATAGCAAGGTACACTGAAAGAGGTCAGAGTGCCTATGTCCAGCTTCTCCAATACATCATGCCAACTGACAGCAAAGTTAATGCAGAGTCAGAGTAGAGGAAGACCCTTTTTCATCATTTCAAGATGAGCTGACATGGTGATTTAAAAGCAGTAGCCATGCACAAGTGCTGACATTTTTGAATGTGCACTATTTTACCTAACGGATTCAATGATAAAAGTGCCATTAAAAGATTAAGCTTTTCGTACTTCTTATAGTTTTTCAGCTGTCATTTATTACGTTATGGTCTAATTTATATACAGTTAATGCTTAATTGAGTTTTTTGTTAATATGTGATGATAAATATTATATTATTATTATTATTATTATGCAGGATCTTGTATAGCACCAACAGTCCGTGCAGAGCTTTACAAAATGGAAGAAGTGTTGCACAGTTTATCAATTAAAATAGTGCTGATCTTGCAATGTTGGCACCACACATGTGCACTGATCTCTTCATTCATTCCCATGGATAAGGCCATGCTTATGGCAGATCCAGCCTTCCATTGAAGTATGGCCCTATCCACATGTCAAATGAATGTGGTAAGCAGTGCACATACACAGTGGACACAACACCCAGCTAGCATTATTTTGCAATAAAAAGCTGTTCCATGTTGAGCAAAGCCACACAGTGAAGAACTCCATAGCAGGCTGAAGGTACGTATTTCACATTGCTAATTACACTGAAGGGGAAAGCTACAGGACGCTATAAAGGACAGCCTTGTTTGAAAGTGAAGTTGTCTTTTTAAAGCCTAAAACGTCTAGTACATTACTGAAATTAATAAAAAAAACAAATTAAATAAATATCATGCAAATTTAGTAGTTATGTTCCTGCTGTCTCCCATTCTCTTTAATATGTTCTTTTTTGCCACTGCCCATGAGAACTGTACAGTCGACTTTTACTGTGTTTGTTTGGTGGCTTTTATGTGATGTTGATGAAGATACCAGGAGTTTTATACTTTTATAGGTACAGTGTGTATTTATTTGTTTTTTGTAAAGTGCTTGGATGCATTTACCTGCATAATGTTCTGTTGGTTTGATTAGCAATCATTATAATCATTCAGTCTGCCTGGCACCATTGAGTACTGTTAGAAAAGCCCTTTTATATGTACTCACTCAAGTACATTAACTTTTTCACTGCTTCTTGTATTCAAAAACAACAGTTCGGACACTTTTATTTCCATGTGTGTAGTGGCTGAGCTCTCCAGCACAGCAGCACATTGCCTGACTGCATGAGGCTGATTATACAAAAGGAATTGAGAATGTTCACACAATAAATTATTGACTTCAGTCAATCCTGTATAAAAAGCAGATCCTTGCTTACTTTTTTTTTTATCTGCACATGCTAGGATAACTGAAATGAATATTAATACAATTTATTGCGTGAACATTCTCCTCTTCTTTAGTAGAGCTCTGAAGCCTAGCTTTCCAAAGTCAGGATAACAATTATAAACTAGAAAAGCTACAATTTCTGGGGAAATTGTGTGAAGTGTTCTTGCCTCCACCAGTAGTCTACAACTGGAGTGGGTGGAGTAACTGGGTGGAGTGGGTTGAGTAACTGTTGAGTGGTTGGAGTAACTGTGAAAAGGTTGGACTGGGCAGAGTAACTTTATGGAATGGGCAGAGTAACTGTGTGGAGTGTTTGGAGTGAGTAAAGATAGTAAACATTACACTAACCAACTGATTGATCAAATTTAAAAAGTGCACATGGCAAGCTTGATAGAGTGAGAAATGCATTTCAACTTTTATTTTACAGCTCACACTCTAGCTTTTGTCACTCTGCTGCCTGCTCACACACCTGGGTTCCTATGGCAACTCACTCTACAGCAAGGGCAGAGAAGAGCAGTTGAAAACAAACTGCTCCAACTTGCTCACTTCACTGGCAGTTGCCATCTTCAAACAGTTGTAGTTTAAAAATTATAAATCCTACACCGAAGAGCTTTATATTGTGAGAATCACAAGACCCATACCTACATTTTGGTGCATAGTATGTCTCTGAAATATTACAAATGAAGGCACAGTTGCAGTTTAGAAATTGCCCTTCAAATTTGAGGTGGCTAGAGTGGAGTTTCAATGAATGTCAATGGGCGGCGTGAGTTGCAAACAAATGGTCATCTTGTGAAAGCTATCAGGACTATAGCTTAGCTGTGGACATTTTTAGTGGCAACAGGGATAGCTGAACGTTTTGATATAAGATTTGTGTAGGTGGGCTTGAAAATGAGGGAGTGATGGCAGTTTAGAAATCATGTCCTGATTTTTCAGCTCACACTCTAGCTTTTGTCAGCTTCCACTTTAGTTTTGAACATTCTGCCATTCATTCCTATGGGACCAATTTCACCACAAAAACGCTGATATTTCGCGAACCATTTGGCAAAAACGTTCCACAAAGTAATAGCACACCAATCAGGAACAATCCGCACGTTTCGGTATATTACTGTCTATGTAGTGTAAAAACTGTGGGAGGAGTTAGGGTAATAAGTTTGGCTATAATAATAAGAATATACAGTCAGGTCCATAAATATTGGGACATCGACACAATTCTAACATTTTTGGCTCTATACACCACCACAATGGATTTGAAATGAAACGAACAAGATGTGCTTTAACTGCAGACTGTAAGCTTTATTTGAGGGTATTTACATCCAAGTCAGGTGATCGGTGTAAGAATTAAAACAGTATGCATATGTGCCTCCCACTTGTTAAGGGACCAAAAGTAATGGGACAATTGGCTTCTCAGCTGTTCCATGGCCAGGTGTGTGTTATTCCCTCATTATCCCAATTACAATGAGCAGATAAAAGGTCCAGAGTTAATTTCAAGTGTGCTATTTGCATTTGGAATCTGTTGCTGTCAACTCTCAAGATGAGATCCAAAAAGCTGTCACTATCAGTGAAGCAAGCCCATCATTAGGCTGAAAAAACAAAACAAACCCATCAGAGAGATAGCAAAAACATTAGGCGTGGCCAAAACAACTGTTTGGAACATTCTTAAAAAGAAGGAACGCACCGGTGAGCTCAGCAACACCAAAAGACCCGGAAGACCACGGAAAACAACTGTGGTGGATGATCGAAGAATTCTTTCCCTGGTGAAGAAAACACCCTTCACAACAGTTGGCCAGATCAAGAACACTCTCCAGGAGGTAGGTGTATGTGTGTCAAAGTAAACAATCAAAAGAAGACTTCACCAGAGTGAATACAGAGGGTTCACCACAAGATGTAAACCATTGGTGAGGCTCAAAAACAGGAAGGCCAGATTAGAGTTTGCCAAACGACATCTAAAAAAGCCTTCACAGTTCTGGAACAACATCCTATGGACAGATGAGACCAAGATCAACTTGTACCAGAGTGATGGGAAGAGAAGAGTATGGAGAAGGAAAGGAACTGCTCATGATCCTAAGCATACCACCTCATCAGTGAAGCATGGTGGTGGTAGTGTCATGGCGTGGGCATGTATGGCTGCCAATGGAACTGGTTCTCTTGTATTTATTGATGATGTGACTGCTGACAAAATCAGCAGGATGAATTCTGAAGTGTTTCGGGCAATATTATATTCAGAACTCATTGGACGCAGATGGACAATGACCCAAAGCATACTGCAAAAGCAACCAAAGAGTTTTTTAAGGGAAAGAAGTGGAATTTTATGCAATGGCCAAGTCAATCACCTGACCTGAATCCAACCTGACCTGAATCCGATTGAGCATGCATTTCACTTGCTGAAGACAAAACTGAAGGGAAAATGCCCCAAGAACAAGCAGGAACTGAAGACAGTTGCAGTAGAGGCCTGGCAGAGCATCACCAGTGAAACCCAGCGTCTGATGTCTGTGCATTCCAGACTTCAGGCTGTAATTGACTGCAAAGGATTTGCAAAGGATTTGCAACCAAGTATTAAAAAGTGAAAGTTTGATTTATGATTATTATTCTGTCCCATTACTTTTGGTCCCTTAACAAGTGGGAGGCACATATGCAAACTGTTGTAATTCCTACACCGTTCACCTGATTTGGATGTAATTACCCTCAAATTAAAGCTGACAGTCTGCAGTTAGAGCACATCTTGTTCTTTTCATTTCAAATCCATTGTGGTGGTGTTTAGAGCCAAAAATGTTAGAATTGTGTTGATGTCCCAATATTTATGGACCTGACTGTATATGTAGGATAACAGTAAGTGGGCTTGCCATGCAAGAACACTTAATTTAGCGCTCTGCAGATATTAAACTGATGCTAATACTAGATCATAAAAACAAGGAAAGCAAGTAATGTGACCAGATTTTCTAGCAAATTATTAAAGGCTCAGTTCACCTTTTCCAGAAATATAGCCTATGCAGGCAAGGGCCCCCAAATAATATCATTTGTAAATGATTATTAATTCTATTGTTTTATCAGTATGTTACTTGGGTCCCTTCAAAAGCCTGGCTAAAAACTCCTAGCTAGCAACCCCCCATCCTGACTTGTTACTATGACGTGAAAACTATTGGATGCTCAACCCCAGCATTACAGGAGTGTAAGTGTATGATTTATGCGTCCTAGCAACAAGGCAGAAAAAGTGGCTTGTTAACTGGGAATTTTTTTGCCAAGTTTTTGAGGGGACCCAAATGGCCTACATGTAAAGCATAAATAGAATAAATGATCATTTTACAAAGCTGCAAATATTTTTAATATCTACTGGGACTCCTTGACCACACAGGGGAAAGGTGAACTTGGTTTTGAAGGGATTCTAAAGACTTTTTGTTTGGAAAAAATAACAAACATGTCTATACTTACCTGCTGTGTGCAGTGATTTTGCACAGAGCAGCCAGAATCCTCCTCCTCTTGGTTCACCTGCAGGCTCTCCTGGCCCCTCTTCCTGCCAGGTGCCCCCACAGCAAGCAGCTTGCTATGGGGGCACCCGCTGCTCCATGTATCCATTCACACACAGAGCCGCTGCTCGGCCTTGCCCCACCCCCTCTCTCCTCTTATTGGCTCACTGGCTGTGATTGACAACAGTGGTAGCCAATGGCTCCTGCTTCTGTCTCAGCTAATGAGAAGAGGAAGTCTCGGGATAGTCGAGACTCCAGTGCACATCGCTGGATCAAGAGGGGGCTTAGGTGAGTATTGGGGGGCTGGGGGTGATGCTGCACACAGAAGGTTTTTTTTTACCTTTATACATAGAATGCATGAAGGTAAAATACCTTGAGCCTTTAGAACCACTTTAAGCACATCGCAAGGGACGGTTGGGACAGTTGCTATTTTTTGTGCACTTTAAGCACACTCAGCTCAGTAGTGATGAAGGAAATGTGAACAATCTAAATGCCCTTTGCTTGACAAAATATATAGAGAAATATGATTTTTGTACTCACTGTAAATCTAATTTTTTGTAATTCATGAAGGGAAGAGAAAATAATTAACTGTGAGTTATACTGCTGCATAAAAGAGGATTGGACACTGGCAGGCAGAAAAATATTGTAGGCCAGCTCAGCATAACCCTTCCTATTACTAGTATGCCTCATTTTGCAGAAACCAATGCCACAAGCATGATCATGAACATAGAGGGGTGATACCTGTGTCAATCAATAGACTCCAAGAGAATGATTGTACCTTGATAGATAAATTCTATTTTCTTTCGAATTCATTGATGGGCACATAATCAACATAATGGGTGCAGGACGCTACTAAATTGTATTTTAATTCAGTTTTTAATTGTGTATAAACAAAGACAGTGTATTTTTTTTCTAACATAATTTGGGGTGGTGCCTACAAAGTCCATAGACCATAGTCCAATGTCTTTTTTGTTCATATCCAGTAAATAGTGCCACATTTAGTCCTCCTCAAATGGCCATAGGGTTCGCTTGGGGGAACAAAGAACCTGTCTGGGTGTTTCCAGTCTCCACAAAGGAAATCTTGAAACAGTTGGTACACTGAAAAGGTCTTGACAGTCCTAGGATCTCTAAAGGACCTCTGACTAGGAACAGTGCTAGTGGAAGCAGTGTGGCATGAACCACATCAATAAGTGCTGAAATGGTCTTTTTTAAATTGGGAATAATGGCAGAAGACTGCAAGTCTGGCAAGTTTGTCCCAAAAATGACTGTCCCTTTGGATCTATAATCAGATATGTTGCAAATGTGTGGCAAGGAAGCAGGATAGCTCAGGGTACCAGGCATAGCCTCAGGTTCTCACAAAACCCAACCTGGAATCAGGTAGGCAACAAGTAGTGGGCAATAAGTAGCAGGAAGGAGAGAGCACTGCACAGATGCGACACTTCACTTGATGATGACATACCTGCTTTAACTCCTATTATGGTAAAAATGGCAGAATATCCAATAACACCCAATGATGCAAATAACAAGGTAGCTCCCAGTGCTGAACTCTATCTTGCCACTTGCAGAGTGGGTCTTCAGAGATGGGGCTAGTGTATATGCAGTGTCATTGGCTCTGGACCTGAAAACTACTCCAAGGCTCCACTTGTTAATAAAACAGGATCTGGAAATTGTCTAATGCAGCAACCAGTGGTTGAAGATCACTTCCAAGCTAGCCCTGCAACATCCAGTCCAGTGAGGCTTAGGCACAGCACTCCAAAGCTCGGCTAAAGAAAGGCCAATCCAGATTTGCTGTTGTTGTACAATCTAGCTCAATCAGTAATGTAGCAAGAATATTAATAAGAAAAAAAATGCTAGTAAAAAAAACCATGTTGGTCTTTTCCAGGCAGAGCTGACAAAAAGACATTCATTTTCCTGGGGGACTAGCAAAAAACTGAGGCATGATGGTAGTAAGAGGGGTTATCCTGAGCTGGCCTATAGTATTTTTTTCCCCCCCAACCTTACGTGGAGGGCAATAAAACAAACAATGAATGGCTTCCTGAGTCCCTCAACAGACAAGAAAGAAATGAATGTAAACTGAAAAGTGATATTTATCTCACAAACTTCTGTTTTCCATGAAACTGCACAAGCAGATGTTCTCTTCAGTGGAAACTGCATGCAAAAACTCAGTAGCTGTAGGCAGGTTAAATAATTTAAATACAAAGTTTCTTTCTCATATAATATGTATGTATTTTTATTTTGTCTGTGTAGTAATCATTTTAAATGTGCAATGTGACTGGGAATGTCATCTTATTCATCTTTACTAGATTTTTTTATATAATAATCATGAACCTTCCAACAAACCTCCTGTTATATGGCCCTCTTTTATACATATTTGTATGTACAACATTTATACTAATCTGTAAAACTGGGTTGGCATGCTTTCTTCCAGAGAACAATTGGATTTAACTTGAACTTCTGTTAGTCACACAAAATGTTAGTGTATAGTATGAGCGAAAGTCATGCTTTAATAGGCCAGCTGACGTTATAACGTCATTTGTTGTGAAACAAAATTATGCTACCTTCATTTAAGTTTTACAATGTTGAGATGTACTTCTGTGTATTTTTTCTCTAAATTGTACATGGTGTGATTATTATACCTCTAACATGTTCTTTCTGTAAAAATATCTTGTTCTGAATAAGCAAATTAAATGAAATATGTGAGCAGGCCTCTCTGTCAATATTCTCTTCTTTGTAGAGAGGGTTCGTGTCTGCCCAGAACTTCCACCTTCAGCTCCACCTCCACCTCCACTTAAACCCCCTCACAAAAATCTTCCTTCCAAAAATGTAGCTGGCAGTTATAAGAAAAATGAAGCAGCTACAAAACAACTTGCGGTTAGTTCTAGTAAGCAGCCACCAGCCACCCTTCCCAAGCCAACAAATCGGGCAGCACGCAGCACTGGTAAGTGCGGCCATGCTTGATGGCTATATTGCATGTTTGTGCTATGCATCCCCAGGCATGTCTTCCCATAAGCCCTTATAGCGTCTCTCAGTATTCTGTAATGTGTAAAGCATTAGACTTGCTTTTAAAGTGGTTTTCTTAATTGTACATTATAGGACACAGAGTAAGTATTCAGGTACATAGGGCTATGCTGCCTTTAGAAGATTGTACACTGGCATCCAAGAGTCGTAAGAACAACCCACTGTAACCCCTCCCTCTCCCAGCATGTCTCAGTTTTTCTCTTCTCTGCAAGAAGCAAACCAGGTCCAACGACAAGCTGAGCATGTTTTTCTCCAGATATTTCCTTTGTTTCTATTCTGATGAAACCCCAAAATTTAGGATTTTCCTTCACTTTCACTCTCAGTGATAGAGAGGGTTAAACTTCCTAATGGGTAAACAAACGGCAATAAATACCTGACAGGTATATACCACAATGTGCTGTGCTTCACTTGAAATTATACATCCAGTTGTGATTACTTATATTGCATACCCACCATAAATAAACAATTATATGAAAAGATGAATAACCATAATAAACCAGTGTCAATTTCCAATAAGTGTTCATATTTTTCTAAAAAAAAATCCATATATAAGATTTCTTCAGACTTGCTTAGTTTACTTTAAAATATACTAACCCGTGTTTCTGAAATAAAATATTTTATGCGAAAAACTTGCATGGACGTGCTCCCCCACCGGTTGTGCTCTCACCTCAAGTATATGACCATATTGTTAAGTAAGGTTAAGATGATATCTTGCTGTTTGGGGTCCTTCTCCACTTAACTGATAATCTTCCCTTCCATGGAGGTTAATATAGAGGAATGGATCAAATCCTAGTGTATTATCCTTTAAAAAAAACCATTTTATTAATAAAAGTAATGCACTCACATATACTCTGTATATAAAAGTGTTGTATTACGCCACCGGTCATGTGGCTTCATCAGGGGCAAATGATCATTTCTCCCTGATGAAGCCACGTAACCGGTGGAGTAACGCGTAGGGGAGGGGCTCTGATGTCACTGACACCAGCTGACAATTTTAGGTTTTTCACCATAAGAAAAGATCTGGAGGACACATTTTGTGAACAAATCGATTTTATATACAGAGTATATGTGAGTGCATTACTTTTATTAATAAAATGGTTTTTAAAGGATAATACACTATGATTTGATATATTCCTCTATATTAACCACCGTGAAAGGGAAGATTATCATTTGAGTGGAGAAGGACCCCAAACAGCAAGATATCATCTTATCCATACTCTGGCCCATTTAAAGGGACACGAGTGTTATATGATCTTGCTTAGTGGTTTGGTCATATACTTGAGGTGAGAGCAAAATCGGTGGGGGAGCACGTCCATGCAAGTTTTTCACACAAAATATTGTATTTCAGAAGCACGGGTTATTCTATTTTAAAGTGAACTGTGCAAGTCTGAAGAAATCTTCTATATGGACTTTTTTTGATAATTATATGGACACTGTTATTGAAAATTGACACTGGTTTATTATTTTTATTCATCTTTTCATATTTAATATAATTGTTTATTTATGGTGGTATGCAATATAAGTAATAGCAACTAGATGTATAATTTCAAGTGAAGCGTGGCACATTGTGGTATATATTATTGATTTAGCACACTGATATGAGTATGTGTTAGGTGCAGGCAATTCACAATTAGCACTTAAGTAGGTTTCATTACTCACATAGCAGCTCACAAGCTTCCACTTTTTAAAATACTTGACAGGTGTTCAAATCCTCTCCACTCTATCAAAAACTAAAGCTTTTCCTTTAGTTACTGGCTTTTAGATATTTAATGAGGACATTGTTTTACCATCTATTAGTCCTGCTTCGAAGCATCCTAAGGAGTTTTCCCTCCATTATCTGGATGTGGTATGCAATGTTTAAGTCAGTCTTAGTTACAGTTCCTTTTAGCCAGTGTGACTCCCTGTTTGTTGCTGAAGGTCGCTAAAAAGGGACTGCCTGTTTCTCGTTCCACTATTGCATGATGAAGTCGACAGTTCAACATTCAAGTTTATGACCTCAAGGGCAAGGTTCCAACTTTCTCTGTCAAGTGCACGCCACCAGATTGATTAGTGCTTCTTGGGCTTTTCAGCATCAGGCATTTATTCTCACATTTGCAAGGCTACGACCTGGTGTTTGGTTCACACTTGTTACGTTTTACCAGGTGGACAGGTAGGCCTCAGTGGGTAATGACTTTGGTGATAAGGCTCTTCAGGCAACTCTATAAGCTGTTGAACCCCCTCTGTTAACCTGTTAGTTCTTGTGGGCATTTAAGCCTTTATTTGCCAAGTTGTCCACCCCTCTGTTCAACTTTTTTTGTATGTCCCTATGTACTGTACCTACCTCTGTTCCATAATGTACAAATAAAAAGATAGGATTTTTGACGTTTTGTAAAATCCTTTTCTTGCAGTACATTATAGAACATAGGCCCCTCCCTTCTGTTTCTTATGATCCACTCCTACTATTGCTTGATACACAACCGAGCCATTCTGGGAGTGGGAGGGGTTATACGGAGTTGTCTATGCAGCTATTTTTTGTCAGTGTTCAATATCCCAAAAGCAACTTGTACCTGAATACTTCCTGTATGTATCAAAATAAACACTAAAAGAAGGATTTTTTTGGTAAGTCAAATATCATATTTTACCTTTCATTGGAAAGTAGACCCCTTTATGGCCTTCTTCTGTGTGGCAGCCAAAAGGTCTTTCCATCCACACACTAAATTTCTTAAAAATTACATTGTGACTTACAAATGTAATGTGTGATTGGATGATATGCCTGAGCAGATAAATGCAGTCTGGAAACCCAGGTAATCAATCTGGAAGGACTACCAAGAACTGTGATTGCTTGGTAGAGAAATGAGGTGGCAGGACCTCTAGTTGATTTACTAAAGGCAAATTGGCTGTTAACTTTGCAAGGGAATTTGCACTATGTAAGATCATTTTTCCAAGGGCTTGAATGTGTTGCAGTTTCATTTTGCAAAAAATACCCAATCATGTACAAAAGGAAATTGAAAAACAGCAAATCTGAGTGCGCTTGATTGGATAATGGTAACTAGCAGAGCTTCACTTCATTCGCTAAGCTCTGGGGATGATTTCCTTGCAAAGCTCAACTTCCCTTGTAAAGTGAACAGTCTATAGGCCTTTAGTAAATCAGCCTCTGTGTGTTCTATAACAGGGGTCAACTTTTCATGTAAACTGGAAGACCTTTTTATAGAGGCTGATTTATGGTATATTTATTTGGTCTTTTTTTTGGTAGAGTCAACTGAGAAGAGTGTAGGAGTGCCTGAGTCAAAAACAAAAAAAGCTGTCACTTCAAAAATTTCTGCTGCTTCTGCTGGGCCAAGCCATAGAAAAGATGAGCCTTCCAGCAAAAAACCTGCCAAAAGCATTTCCAAACAGCTGTCTGCTCCAGCACTTAAAACAACAAGTCGAGCAAGCACACAGGAAAATAGTAAGTATATAACCGATTAAATTGTGTAAAAGTGATTTCAAAGACAACAAGGTGCACCCTTAAAATAATGGTGTGTTCAGAGTATAACTACTAAGGTTGCCTTTTAGAAGGTTAGTTTTTGCTTTGCTCTTGTGAACTACATAAATTCAATTGTTTCTCTCTTTGGTTTTGACCAAAGCATGCAATTTTGTGTACAGCGATGTTAATGTTCCATTCAGAGCAAAAAAGCCATATCACTTTAATGGGAGTATGGCCCAAACTCCTGAAAATATGGTGACTGAAGTCCTGGAGGACATGGCGCTTAAGCACAGTATCACCCTTCAAAACACATTGATATTAATTGACTTCAAAGTCAAGATTTGTGCCACTATTCCTGTTAGTGAAAATAAAATATTACCAAGCTCTTAGGGGTCACTACAGCAGGTTTCGGCAAGCTGTGCATACATTATGACCAGCATGCACTTTTAAACATTACATTTTCAGCAAATGAAATTTCCTACCTTAAATCTAAAAGCAAATTCAACATATTGGCTGTCAGATAGATGAGCAATTGTTTAACAAGACATAATACATTCTATAGCCAACTGATGACTTATTGTAGACAACCGGAAAGTAGTTCCACTGTTTTCCACAAAATTCTAATGCTGATACTAATGCAAACCAACGCTCATTAAACAATGCAACCCAGACACCCTCCAAGTAAATTTTTTTTATATAAATGGGAAGTGTTTTTTTCCCCCTTACTGATATTTTATAAACGCTTGTCAAGCATACCATAAACTCTACAAGCACATGCATAACGTGTTACCATAGACTTGAATGGAAGGCATTGACAAGTTTCAACTCCTCCCAGACTCCACATGTAGCATTATTTTTCCGCACAAAACTGCAAAGCAATTTAAGTGCTGTATTTTTTAAAGTGTGAACAGCTTGGTCCAATGCCCATATGATCCATTGAAGGCCACTTTAAGCATTCGGGAAGTGTCAAAAACATGCCCTAAACACCTGTTATTAATGCCAGTTTGAAGGAGGCCTAGCACAAGACAAGACTGGTGACTGATGGTGCACATAACCACAACATGCCAGTGAAAATAGCTAGACAACCCTGTCTCGCCTGAATTATTGTGTTTTATTTGAAGCAGAATTTGAATCACAGGTAGTTTTGCATAAGTTAATCACTTCTTTTCCTTTTAGATGCCTCTTCAAGTAACAGAAAAACAGCTGCCACTAAGACATCATCTTCCACACTGGCATCGACTTCCTCCAGGCCAAAACCTTCAAAAGAGCAGTTATCCAGCAAAGCTGGCATCTCAACCACTCCGAGAGCCAAAAAATTACCCAGCAAATCTTTATCTGTTGATCAACCTATGTTGTCGCATGCTAGTTCTACAGGCCTAAGGAAACGGGACAGGACTGAGCCGGCTACTCAGCAGGTGGACTCTGACACACAAGAGACCAGTCCCATAGAAAACACTCCTGCTGAACAGCAGCAAAAGCCACTGTCCACTTCTCCTGCTGTAAAACATAATTTAAAAACTCAGTGCAATATATCTGATGCAACACAAGAGGAAAGTCAGAATGATGACTCTGCCACTGTTAGTGAAAGTGTGCAGTTACCAGAAAACAGATGCGCCAATAAAATTAGTCTGGAAATAACTGGTGTGAATGAAGAAAATACTGAAAGGTAAGTCAAAGTATAGTGTTCAACCATAGAAAGATTTGGCAGCTGCATAAAGATAGATACACAGACTATAACTGTATGCTAACATTTATAGGTAAAGTTGATCCGGGGAATATCCAAATGCCTCTGGGGGATCAGGAAGGATTTTTTTTTCCCTGCAGGAGCAAATTGGATCATGCTTTGCTGGGGGGTTTTTTGCCTTCCTCTGGATCAACTGTGTGTATAGGATTATAACTTTTTTTTTTTTTTAAATGGTTGAACTGGATGGACTTTTGTCTTTTTTCAGCCAGACTAACTACATAACTATGTTATAAAGAAGTATAATATAATGCTCAATTTACAAAACTTTTAAGGAAAGGGATCTTTATTTTAGCCACTGACTGTAATTTTCCAATTTTTTTGGACTAATCTAAAATTAAAAGAGAAGTTTGTTTTTTTTCCCTCCAAACTATACTTACATAGGAGGATGCAGCATCAATCCAATGTTGCATTTGTCCCCCACTGGCTCTAAGTGTAAGAACGCGGCGAAAACGGGTCACAGGAGTGCAGAATGATCTGCACTCCTGCGATCCAGGAGAAGTACAGCCAAAAGAGCTTTGGCTGTAAGTGTCCTTTTAAGAATATTTTGTCTTGCTTGAAAATTGAGCTTTATGTATTACAAATATAATTAATTTTCAGATTGAAGTTTTGCTTGAAGAAATCACTGATTGTTGCTAAAATGGGAACAATTTTACTGTCCCAAATCTAATATACTTAAGAATAAAGTATTTACGAATTATAATTTCACAAAGTTAGTGGTCATCCACCTTATTGAATGTCATATATCGGACAATCATACTGTCCTTTAGGCCTCATCACAACATCAATGTCTAGGCACCAACACAATTCACACTCAAGGGGGTGCAAGTTCATCCAATACTTGTGCTGCTGTTGAAACCAACTGAGTCTATACCTGGAGAATAGGCTACAAACAAAAGAAAAAATAAAGTGCAGCAAAGTTCAGTGACATGGTATTGTGACAAATGCAGTAGACAACCATTGTTTAATTAGAATGCTCTAATGCATTCTCAAGAGCTGTGTCTCTGTATCCTCAAAAAAACTAATGATGTTATGGTGAACATGAAAAAATTATGAAATGTTCGCAGGGGATATACCACAAACAAAACGCAATGTCTCCTATTAGACAATACTACCAAGTTCACCTTTTGTATAAAAATAATAAACGCACATTTTTTTACCTGCAAAAAAATGTGCATTTATTATTTTTTGTCCAAAGGAGCCGGTAAAGCATTGCACCAGCAATCAGTAGATCGCTGATGCCGTGCAAGTCTCCTGAAGACCTGTCAGAATATCTGTTTGCTGTACGGGATGTGCGAGCAAGCAGATATTCTGACAGGAAACTTCAATGAACTACCACGGCATTCCACAGCACCTTGGCAGTTCATTGAAAACTATAATCCCACAGCCACTAAGGACTTGCACTTTATTCATTCACGGAAGTGCGTGAATGAATGACACAGCCGTGTGGGCAGATTTCAAATTTGATAGATAGCACGGGGAAACTTCTCCCCGTACCATCTGTCAGAGGGAGGGGGGCTGGTGAGCACAGCTGCAGCTATGGGAACATGTTACATGTTCCACATTAAAAACGCATGTAACATGTTCCAAAGGTGAACTTATCCTTTCATTTATTCTGGCCATTAGAGTGCATTAACATGCTTACGTGCATAAACATGCACATTGATGCATTCTAAGGGTCCATGTTTTTTTCTGCCCAAATGCTCCTCTTCTGAACACACAAGTAATGTTTTTCTTTTTCTTCTAAATGCTCCTCTTCAAATATGCCTGTAAAGGTCTATGTGTGCACGGACACATAGCATAACATGGAGGGGTGTTTAGAGCAGACAAAATATGCCAGATGCCTCTAAAAGCAGTTTTTTTACTCCAAGTGTGCACGAGGCCTAAAAGTGAAAAAATATATTTGACTATAGTATGAATATATTTTAGTATAAGTGTCCTTTACTTAATCTCCAAATCAAAATCAGCAAATTTTCCCCATGTTGGGAACTTCATAGCACTTTGCGGTTTCCATGCAGCTGTGATTCTGGAAAAGTTGCAGGGACCTTTTCCCTGTGGTTTCCACAGGTATACCAGCCCGTTCAAATAAATAAGCTGGTGTGGCTACGCAAACGTGGCCACAGGGAAACAGCAGAAGGGTGAACCTAGCCTTAATCCATACTATAACATTTTTTTTTCCTTTATATATCATCCCCAGAGTAATAATATCAAAAATGGGATCAGAGAAATTAAAAAACTTTTTTTTTTTGTTCCCTTAAAATCTGGAATCCATATCCCTCTAGCAGATTTGGTCATGTGGTTTCTGCCGAAGGGAAGAATCAGTACCCTATGACCTGCTATTCAGGACTTTGTCTGTGACTTTGTTCATTGCTTTTTTAACACTTTCTTCATTACTTAAAGTTGGGTACTTAGGCACTATGGGTATTTAGGCTTTTTGCGCTGGCAAAACTGAATGTACAGTGCCTTGAAAAAGTATTCATACCCCATTAAATTTTTTTACATTTTGTCATGTTACAACCAAAAATGTAAATGTATTTTATTGGGATTTTATGTGATAGACCAACACAAAGTGGCACATAATTGTAAAGTGGAAGGAAATGATAAATGGTTTTCAGAATTTAATCAAATAAATATCTGAAACGTGTGGCGTTCATTTGTATTCAGCCCCCCTGAGTCAATACTTTGTAGAACCATGTTTTGCCACAATTACAGCTGCAAGTCTTTTTGAGTATGTCTCTACCAGCTTAACACATCTAGAGAGTGAAATTTTTGCCCATTCTTCTTTGCAAAATAGCTCAAGCTCTGTTAGATTTGGATGGAGAGCATCTGTGAACAGCATTTTTCAAGTCTTGCCACAGATTCCCAATTGGATTTAGGTCTAGACTTTGACTGGTCCATTCTAACACATGAATATCCTTTGATGTAAACCATTCCATCTCGGCTCTTACTTTATGTTTAGGGTCGTTGTCCTGCTGGAAGGTGAACCTCCGCCCCAGTCTCAAGGCTTTTGCAGACTCTAATAGGTTTTCTTATAAGATTGCCCTGTATTTGGCTCCATCCACCTTCCCATCAACTCTGACCAGCAATAACTTTCCCTGCTGAAGAAAAACATCCCCACAACATGATGCTACCACCACCATGTTTCATGGTGGGGATGGTGTGTTCAGGGTGATGTGCAGTGTTACTTTTACGCCACGCATTGCATTTTGCTTTTAGGCCAGAAAGTTCAATTTTGGTCTCATCTGACCAGAGCACCTTATTCCATATGTTTGCTGTGTCCCCCACATGGCTTCTCACAAACTGCAAATAGGACTTCTTATGGCTTCTTTCAGCGATGGCTTTCTTCTTTCCACTTTTCCATAAAAGCCAGATTTGGGGAGTGCACAACTAAAAGTTGTCCTGTGGACAGATTCTCCCACCTGAGCTGTGGACCTCTGCAGATCCTCCAGAGTTACCATGGGCCTCTTGGCTGCTTCTCTGATTAATGCTCTCCCTGCGCGGCCTGTCAGTTTAGGTGGACGGCCATATCTTGATAGGTTTGGCAATTGGTTCCACTAGATTTTAGTTAGGGGTATCAAAGTATTTATATTTAAAATTTTTGAAAACCATTTATCATTTTCCTTCCACTTCACAATTCTGTGGCACTTTATGTTGGTCTATCACATAAAATCCCGACAAAATACATTTACATTTTTGGTTGAAAAACGACAAAATGTGGAAAATTTCAAGGGGTATGAATACTTTTTCAAAGCACTATAGCTGTAGTCAACACATTAAAGCTGAAGCTTATGTAGGTATGGCAGTTTGTGTGTGCCATACCTGTTGGGTGCCTGTGGTAGCTGGAAATCACTGTAGTACGCCTTGCTATTACAGTTCTCTCCATTAGCCTCCAGGACCCATGCAGAGCAGCTGCCCTGCTGTATTCTGAGCACAGCAGTTCACCCACTCAGCATGGGCACCATGCAGGCAAGACTTTGCATTGCCTCAGTAAATGAAAAGCATTCTCTGACTGGATGAGATGTATTCATTGAGAAATGGAAAGTGTTCTCTTAATGGTGCCTGTGTTGAGCAGGCGATCTCCTACATTCAGTAATCAGCTGGGCAACCACTCGGCACAGCACCCAGAAGCTAGCGGCAATCACTGTAGTACTGTTGCCTACTACAGTAATTTCCAGCTTCCACAGGGAACCCACAGGTGTGGCACATACATTCTAACATTGGTCCAATCTGGACCAATGTAACTGTGTAAAAATTACTATACCTAAATTTCAGCTTTAAAGCTGACTTTCAGGCAAAATAGATCAATGTAAGGGAGCAATGTTATCCTTCAAATGCTATGTTTATCTGTTCATCCAGTACTGAGATAGCAATAGAAAACCTTACAGAAAAGAGTTGAACATTTTTAGTGTAAGTAAAGCCAACACATTAATCTTAATCATACAAGACAAATGCTGAGTATTCAGAGACCCTGGGTTATAGGCTTGTACCTTCAGGTGACTGGTCACTGGCAAAGCTTTTGAGGACTTGCTCCCTTGACAACTTCCTTATATAGCCCTACCTCATTCTGTGCTAGTGTCCTAAAGTGAAGAACATTTTTTCCCTTATGAAGAAATCACTTTTAGCTTACTTTGTTTATCTTTGGATTTATCAGTTAACTCTCCACTGTCTTCCAATACCACAATGGAAGCACTGCATTCAGATCAGTGCACTCTTGGTAAAACCTTGGGAGCCTTACCTGGACTCCATACTATTGGGAAGGCCTGTATTGTTGCTTCGGGCACAGAATCCTGCATGGGTACTCGCCTCTGCACTTAAACTGATATTAAAAGCATCTTAAAAAAACTAAACAAACAAATCATACTTACCTGTTTTGTGCAATGGTTTTGCACAGAGCAGTCCTGATTCTGCTCTTCTCAGGTTCTCCA